TGACTGGTCGATACAATGAGTGATCTGTGTAACGGAGAATGAAAATCATATCTATATTTGGAAGGTTTCTCCTGTTCTGCTAACGCTGATGCTAATTTGGGGACTTATTTTGGTACAGATTTTATAATTTTGGGGGTGTTTTTTTTTTGGCTTCTTTTTTAGGGTTAGGGTCAGTTTTAGAGGTAGAATTGTTATTAAAAGAGTATACTGTAAGTGGGATTTAGTAGGTATAACGAATCCAAATTAAGACCCCAAAAATCAACATCAGCATCAGTCGTGACATTTATTAATATCTTTATTTATTATTATTTTTCTTAGCCGGTTATAACAACGCCGCAATCATATCTTCATATCCAACATTAAATATGACAATACCTTTATCATTTAATGATCTTATCAACATTTCTTTTTCATTTCCTATTATTGCATCTTCCGGCAATATCTCTATATATCAAGTCATCAATGAGGATACTTTCTTATTACGTCAATCATACTCTGCTTCTTCGTATTGTAATGTGTATAATGACACAACTTTATCATGTAAAACTTTATCTAGCACATTTAATCGAATTAATAATAACTATATCATTATTGCTAATGACGATTTTGTGAGAACATCAAAATATAATGACCCTGTAAGTGGAATTAAAGAAGGTATTTGGAATGTGACAACTCTACGTGAGTATGGATTGTATACTAACATATTAAATCCGAAAAAATTAACGTTAAATTTTTATACTAATTAAATCACGGTTATTAGGCCAGGATAATGATTATATTAAGACTTCTGGTATCTGAAATTTTATCTAAATTTTTTGTCGCAATATATTTTCTATACATTTATATTATAATATTTGGATTTGTTTTATAGAATCGACGGAGGCGTTATTACGTTTAAACCTTGATGGTGCTTCCTATTTTTCAAACTCTAATCAGTCACAATTGCTTGATGATTTGCTACAGCGAATAAAAAGTAGCATTCCTTTATTGAATGATCGCTTAAAAATAACTCATAATGTTCAATCGGATCCCTCGGATTCCTCCAAACTTTTAATCGAATTTTCTATTGATAAGGCAATTAATCCTTTAAATGATTCTAGTGCAAATGATATTATTAACGATTTGGATTTCATAATAAAGAACAAATATATTAGTGCTTTTTCTGATAAAAAATTTATGATGTTTCTTGACGAACAGTATGGATTCCAAGCAAAACGTACGTTATTTTGTATTAAATATTGATTATTTTTTAACATCTAATTCTCATATTTTATCTACCTACATGTATTATGTTAGCAAATTTATGGGTTGAATTTAGAATTAGGTTACTTGTTATATCAATCTTTGCATTTGTAATAATTGTGATATATAGTTTAGCCCGAAGACGTAACCCAAAGGCAAGATTCATTATTAATTATTTTTTATTATTTTATATTATGTTTTTAATTTATATTATGACTACACAGGGCCAAAACTTTATTATAGTTAAATTAGCATTAATAATTTTGGATTTTGTTCTTGAAATCTTTTTCGTAATCAATAATGGGCACGATGTTCCATTTCTATTTATTCCTAGGTACATTAGATTTTATATTATATTTACAATATTTGGTCTTTTTCTTATTTTATTCACTAACTATTTATCAATAACATAGCTTAATTATCTTAATAGTACCAAGATCATTTAATTTTATTTTATCGGTTTTCTTGATTGCCAAAGAAATTTTGATTAATGAAAATTTCCAAAATTGGTTTTCTAATAATTTCAAGACTGCATCTATTTTTACAATAATTGCTAGTGTTGATATTGAATTATTAAATATATTAGACTCAAATTTTGCTGGATTCGATTGTTTTTTTTGCAAACATGTCTGATAAAACAAAAAAATGGATTGTTTATGGAGCTATAGTTAATATACTTATTGAAGATATTCCGCATCTTGTTATTCAAGTATGTTTTTTAAAAATTTTTAAATGTTTAATATATACTCTACTTATTAATATATTTATCTTCTTTAATTATAGGTAACTTATCAATTAAATACGATATTATATACAATTATACCAATGCTTACGTTAATCACCTCATTATTAGTTGTTACTATAAATATTTTGTCAAATATATATCGCTATTGGAACAATTATAATATAAACAATTGTAATTAAAAAACTGGGGTTTTTATATTATTATGACTTTTAATTGTATTTAAAAGCTATTTTTTATTTCTTTATTTTATTTATTAGATGGTTAATGCTAGAAAAAAACCAAACCTTGACTAAATAGATTAATGTATAATTTATGTATTAGATATTTTTTTAATTAGGGCTAAGTTGGGTAAATATTAAATGAGTGAATTTTGACCAATAGAATTAACTGAGATCACTACATAAATTTTAATATTTTTACAACTTTAAACAAAAATATCTTGACAACCGCCAAACAATATTTGATAAAATTTTTATTTTAATTCTACATGTATGTGGAATTAAAATAGAATTTGGTTTGGTGGTCGCTGAGTATCTTCTTTTAAAGTTCGTCAATAAATTAAGCTATCTATTAAAATTCAAGTCGTAGAATTTTTTTAAAAAATTTAAACGAAGATTTCTCGACAACCACCAAAACAAATTTAATGAAAATTTTTTATTTTGGTTCAACAAGTATATTGAATCAAAATAAAAAAATTCCATTAAATTTGTTTTGTTTGGTTTGGTGATTGTTGAGATATCTTCGTTTAAAGTTCGTCAATAAATTAAACCGTCTATTCAAGTCGTAGTGAAATTTTTTTAAAATTTAAGCGAATATATCTCGACGACCACCGAACTAATTCGATGAAATTTTTTTATTTTGATTCTACAAGTATGCTGAATCAAAATAAAAAAAATCCCATTGAATTTTTATTTGGTAGTTGTTGAGATATTTTCGTTTAAAGTCGTCAATGAATTAAACCGTCTATTCAAGTCGTAGTGTAATTTTCTTAAAATTTAAACAAATTCGATGAAAAATTTTTTATTTTTGATTTTACAAGTAAGTTGAATCAAAATAAAAAATTTTCATTGAATTTTGTTTGGTGGTTTTTGAAATATCTTTGTTTAAAATTCATTAAAAAGCTGTTTATTTAAACCATAGTTGATTTTTTTTAAAATTTAAACAGATATTTCGACAACCATCAAATATTTGATTTTACAAACTTGTAGAATAAAAAAAAAATAAAAAATTTCATCAAATTTGATTTTGTGATTGTCAAGATATCTTCGTTTGAAATTCATCAATAAATTAAGCCGTCAATTAAAATCCAAATTAATAGAATTTTTTTTAACTTTAAACGAAGATATTTCGACTACAGTACAGGACAGCAAGTCCTAACAACTTTTAAATAAAAAGTGGCCAAATTTTAATCTATGTTACACAAAATAAGCAAAATGATTGGATAAAATAATATAAAATTAAATAAATTTTATAATTGTTAAACTTTTAATCAAATATAATAATTTAAGAAACTAATTTAGCCAACTGTAACAATATTAATAAAAAACATTTTAGCTAAAATACTTTTTTAATTGAATTACTAGTTAATTATTTTTAAAAAAGCTAATTGAGTTGTCGGGATATGCTGTCCCGTACTGTAGGACCGGGTAAAATCGCCACTTAAAATGTTTCGAAATCATATGATATTATCAATTCATCATGAGGATTATGATAATAATAATATTTAGTAAATATTAATTGATTTAGTAAGTGATTTTTTTTCTTCGATTCTTCAAAATGAAAAGTGATCGCTGCAGTCTCGACAAACCAAGTGATTCTTTTTAAAAGCATAAAATCCAATAAACACAGTATTTTAAAATTATACACTGATTGCCATAACAAATTTCCACTAATAATAAACGAATGGAAGTCGAGATAAACTAATCAAGAAAATGCGCAATTGCATCAGAAATTCTTGTAGATTTTATTGTTCTTACGGAAGACTATAACTGTAATTATTTATTTGAGCAAAAAGTTTTTATAAGTCTAAATCCGGAACGCAACAAAAAAATTATTGAAGAAAAATAAGGAATCCAAATAGTAACAATGGATCGATAGTATTAATAAAACCTTTGAATAATTATAATCATTTTAAAAGACAATGGAATATTCCCAATACTTAGAAAAACCGTAATCATAATACTTTCTGGCTGAAGTTTATTGAGTTTATTCGAAATAAATAAAATTGGTCTATAAAATTTTTCTTCGATTGTATTGTTTGTTCAAGTTACATAAATTTTTGGTGCTCAATGAGTCTGGTAATTCATCCCAAAAAAAAATTTCCGGAACGTGATTTTTAGCCAATTAGATCGAAGGATCAGGTGTAACAGAAAATCAAAACAATCGAATTAAGCGAAAGATTTTAAAGTAATAAGCTTCATCTTTAGGGTTAGGAATAAGGCCGAGAGAGACATAACTTATATCAAAATTTCACAAGAGATTTTTTTCGTTAGAATACAGAAGGCAGTTTCATAGGCAAAATTTCGACGATTTT